TTTTATCCATACAAAGTCAGTAGTTTCTGATTCGCGGGCAAGGATCTTCCCGTTTCTTACCCATGCGAATTTCCAGCCGGCATCCCGTTTCTTGGCAATAGTCTTACCAAGTAATATTTTCAAAAAAAGTAATTTTTTCAATGTTGGGCGCAAATGTTCGTTTACAAAAACGGGTGAATCGGCGGGAAGTCCCAAGTCTTCATTCCTAATTCGTTTTGATCGGGCCTTTGCAAGCACCCTGTCGCGCCTTTCCCTGCGCATGAATTGCACGATAACATTTTGATTTCCGCGTTCTCGTGTGCGGACTCGATGACAGATTTCAACATCTGCTGTATCAATCGGTTCGCCAATTGCTTCTCCGAGCTAACGCAGCGTTTCGTTCAGATTTTCGTTTGCGATTACTGGTACTCATTTAATTTCAAGGTTGTACGCACGTGACTGTTGTTCGCATTGTGCAATGCTCACTTGGATTGCTTTCATTTTTTTTTTTAAGTGCTAGACATCTAGCTTTCAGCTCTTCGTTTTGTTTTTTTAGTTCTGTATCAACCGTAGCTCCACCTTCAAGCTTCTTCTTGATACCCTCAAATTCAGCATTTATGAAATCCATACTGGACTTCATTTCCCGTATATCAGTACGGAGTTCACGAACTTCATTACAGAAGTCTCTCTCATCAATTTCCATTAATTTTTCATTTACGCGTGACCTACAAGAACACAACATATTAATACATTTTTTTTTATAATTCGTCATTAAAATCTCGAAGTACATTAACCGGTGTTTCTCGGTGACAACGGAGAGCTCCGATTAAACCAGAATGTTTTCTTGTGAATATTTTTAGGCAACAAGTTCCTTTGCTTTCAAAGCTGTATCTTGCAAAGAAACAAGAGCCCGCTGCTACATGAGATGTGCGGTTGAAGCTCTGCCTCCAGCGTGAACATTCTGCCTTCTATAACAATTCTGCGCACATGCAACCAAAGCACAACGGAAGGCAGTGCGCACACGGTCGAGACGAAGCTTCTCCTCTAGATGTTATGTTTCACCTGGAAGAAGGCTGTAGATTTTCCGGTGTTTACTCGTGAAGAAAATCGGCAGATGTTTTTCGGTGTTTATTTTTTTTAAATATCGGTGTATTTTAGTGATCTGCTGTAGATGTAAGCTAAACAACGGTGATTACTGATGAAACGATCCACGAGACAGTCAGAGTTTAGTAAGCCTAATGGAGGGCTTCGACAACAAGCAACAAAACAATCCTAGATGGAGCAAATATTTTAAGAAGTCGCTGTTTTTCGATTTTACCCAACCGATTGTATTTTTGACAATGGTTGCTTATCGGTGTTTTTTCAGATTTTAACCGAATCGGTATTTTTGACACCAACGATTGCCTATCGATATTTTCTTGGTTTTCGCCGTTCTTGTATTTTTGACACCGGCGAATGTTTATTGTCATTTTTCGTTTAAACCGCGAAGTATACAGCCTAGCTATAAGTTGCATTCGCTTGGGCGAGAGAAAAAAAAGCTAAAAGAATATTACTTATTGCACGTTCGCTTCATTTCCGTGATAATGGCTTACAGGTTAACTATCGCATGACACCTGAACTATGGGTCCTGCGAGTGCTGACCTGAATGTATGCGAGATTTCAATGATTGTCTGAGCAAAAATAAGTGTTGTCTCAGGGTTTAAATATTAGGATTCAGTCTGTCTATTCGGGGGGCATGTCAGCACAAATTAACCCGGAGTCAATGAGGCCATTATACGAAAAAGGAAGACAACAGCAAATGGTAATTGTCCGATGGCTCTCACCGTTCAGCAAACTGATGATTGCGAGAACCGTATCGCAAACAGTGACGAGACGCGTCAACGTTATCAGGTTTATTTACTGGCAATGGGTTACCAGTCTATTTGAGTAGCCGTCTCGCTGCGATAAAGCCATGGGGCAGCAGAAATGGCAAAACAGAAAACAAAAAAGCGGAACTCAAACCAGTAGCCTCTCGTAGCACTGGACGCATCATCAGTACCTCTTAATGAAATATTTTACGTGTAAAATACATTTCATTCCGCGAGAATGCAATTCGTAGTTAGAAGAACGGCTCGAAGCGCCGCGCGTTCGAGGTTTTCGAGAGCCAACGGCATGGCTGCCGCCATCTATCGTCGGAAGCACTCGAATGCCAGTCATGGCAGCCGTCTCTGCTGTCTCAGCGAATCCGTCATCAAATTCTTTACTGGGGAATATATTTTATTTTATTTATTCATTTATGTGCCCTAGAGGCCCTCAGGGGCATTCCATAGCGGGAAACAACAGTACAGTAATTTGGAATACAATAAAAAAAAATAAGCAGCAACACACACGCAGTAGAAAGATACAATGCATGTACACACAAAAACATTAAAGAAAAAACATTCGCGAAGATTTGATGGTCTTGTACCAGACAGCTGTTGCGTGGTTAGATGGACTTAGGCTTTTAGTCTTTATTTATTTGGCTCAGCCGCGGCACCGCGGAAAGACAGCAGCCCGTACCATGGAGACCCGCGGTGCCGCGTCTAGTGAACATGACCATGTGATGAGTATATACATGCATGATGACGACAACATGGGTTGTTGTTTTTGGAGAGGATGGCAGTCCGATTCGCAGAAGTCCAGATTTCGTGGAGTTGGGTTGGGCGGGTCAGGAGCGAGACATGGGGATCTCTGGCACGCCGTTCGATCGGTGCATGAATATGCACCACAAATATGATGGCGCTGTTGCTCACTGAAGTCCACTGGGGTCGAAGCATCAGGCTCCAAGGAGGTAGCTCAGTCAAAGTAGAAGCTGCCGCTTCCGAAGAACCAATGCTCAGATTGAGGCACCGCCGTCGCCCAGTGTGTCATCCTCTTACCGTCGTCGTCATTGTGATATTTATTTATACGCGTATATGTGTATAAGTAAAATAAGATAGATAAAAAGACACACGATCGAACGGCCAGCGGCGCGCCGTTCTAGTTATATTTCTAGTTATTTCTAGTTATACACACATTAAGGAATTTTGTTCACTTTGTGTCTGCAACCGAGCTAAAACTTTACGTACACAGGCAAATTCAAAGCAAAATATATACAATGCAAGTGTTTCTGACCCTACATAAGAATTACTTATATTTGAAATCCAGGGCGCAAATTTTGATTCTAAACATCTAATTATTATATAGTTATATTATAACCGCCACATTCTTAGTCAATATGCTGTCAGAAACGCATCGTACAAATCTTTTTTTCCGATAAGCCTGTGTAAAGGTAGCTTGGCCGCAAGCTTCTTGGTGCACGGCGGGGTGCTAACTTCACAGGGGCAAAAAGCGGGCCGAATTTGAAAGTCTCGAGGAACAAAAAGTATGTTTTAAAATACCTAAATTTTAACTGCGGTGTGTGCTATGAGTTGGCATCTATTATGTCCCTCGGGAACTTTACGATTCTTCATTTCAGTGAGAAGAAATTAAAAATCTTGTCAATGTGGCCCATAGGACCCAATGCGCAACAATATTATATCGGGCCCAGGAATGAAAAGTATACAATCCTGAGGTTTAAGTAGATAATAAATAAGAGTGTATTAGTGCCCTTTATAGATATCCCGGGAATTTAAGGATTTCTGCAGTAGTTTGGCGAAAATTATCATTTTACTGCGTTTTGCTGAGAATAGCCAAGAGAGGGCGCAAGGAGACCGTGTCCAGGAATGCTGGGGATGTGGCTAATATGGTGTAAGAGTGTATACTCCGTTTTTATCATAATTTGGTGAACCCCGAAGGCTACAGTCCCAGTGAGCCCATGTGAACGTTGAAGAGAGGCATGGGACAACATATAATCAGAGTGGTCTCCTTCTACGGAGTGTAGTGCCATATCTTCCCTCAGTCTCTTCAACTGGCTCGAGGGAGCTGCAGCTTTTGCTCTTTGCCACTTTATGGCGAAACGAAGTATAGGCAGCACACACGTTTGAAAGAAGTCTATTGAAGAGTCTGAAAGGAATGGTAGTCAACATTTCAATACAAGACTGCTTCATCGGTTGATTGGGACGAACACAAGTTGAAGTTATTTTATCCGGGTAACTAGAACACGTAAATAATCAACCGACTGATACAACTCCGCCTTTATAAACTAAATTATGACTGCCATAAATCCTACAAAAATGCAACATATGCTGTTCATTTTTCATTTCCGAGTTGCTGTAAATTTAAAGAATTGTTGATATGTGTAGTGCTAGGGCTGCATTTTTTTAAGGATTCTAGATGCTGGACTGGTGAATGAGACAACCATTTAAAAGGAATCTCATCGTAAACTAAAGGTAAGTTCAGATATTTCATAGCGATCTGCAAGGTTAAGAGCCTAATAATGCTAATTTTTAAGCGACGTCGAATGCAGTATTTTGTGCACTGCCCAATCAAAAGTATAAAGACTTGCGTTCTTCTCAGTTCCAAGGGAATAATTGAACTGTATTGTCAACGTTTGAAATGAACTATTTTCTGAATAAATGGTTCGAATCCTTTGTAACAGTTCGGGTGCACTTCATTTAAGCGAGCGCCAACTTTTCACACAGAACAAAATACTGCGAACAAACGCAAGCTACTGCAATGGAAGCACGGTATAACCAAATATTGAGAAGTCCGAAATCGTCGACAAACAGCTGCATATCATGACTACCACGCACCGAACCAACTCGTATCTACTAGCTCTGGGCGCTGCCATTTTACCGGTGACGTCACGGCTCTTGTGAAGTCACGCGACGAGTAGCCGCATTCGCGTACATCATGGCGACAACCAGGGCTCGGGCACCAGTTTCAATCTCCCGGTTTATAACTCTAAGCCTCTATGCCTCTATGATTACCCTCCTCTCTATCCCCTTGTAGAGGCGTTTCGCAGAAAGTGGCGTGCTCATTCGAGCAATGCGGTACATGTTTCGAACAGCTGTGAGCATTTCAAGAGTAAAACAAAAACATTCGAGATGTTGCAGCCGCACACGCTATGCGCTCTATTTTTGGTGTACAGCCATGTCTACCACGTCGACTCGTACGGTCCGCAAAATAGCCTTCGCTGTTTTGTGTGCAGCAATTCTCGCTTCGCTTGTATGTTTTGATTGGTTACGACGACCACCTTCTTGCCCCACGCCAGCATCCGGCGGCACGACCAGAGAGCAGGTAATACGCAGTGTTGTTGCTATAGTCACTGAAAGAATGAGAACGTCAGGGAGGTTTTTCAGTTGTGCCGCCTCCCGAGCGAGCTTCCTACCTTCGATAAGGCTCCAATGTCCCGTCAGCTTTGAGCGTGCACTCGAAGCCAAAGCACGGTGGAAGGCAACGGGCACGTGCTGGAAGCCGGGCATCCGAAAAAACGCCCTGCCTATCCCATCCTGTCAGTGACCATAATGGTGATTCCGACTCCAAATTCTTTTCCAGATTTTCCGAGTGTTGTCACTTTTTTTAATAAGCCTTGCGTTGGTAGTTTCCGGATTTCACATGTGTCGCAGAGAGAACGGAAACGATAGTTTTATACTGTTTAGTTTGGTACCCTAGAAACTTTCAGCGTTCGTTCTCTAAAAGCGCGAATGAAATTGACGTGAATACGCTTGACACCACAAAAAGGTTCTCGATAATAATGGCTTTTCGTAGAATGTACACAAGAGTTTGAGTTGAAAGCCGTAGCTCCTGACGACTCTTCCAAGCACGGATTGAGCACGCGCGCGCAAGGCCCGTCATCCGTAGTGTAAACTACTGATCTCTAAGACTATTTTCTGGATCGCGTTTGCCTGCTTCGCTAATACGGCCATGGTTGGCCATCTTTGTCGAAGAGTTTATTGTCTCTAGCCACACTATAGTAGTATGGTGGCGCAGTCTACATCCCCTTTGATGGGGCACCCGTTTGCCAGCGAGACCTAAAGGGTCGCGGGGCGACTTCATGAAAACCTTGAAGAATGCTTACCGATGGTAAGTTCTGGTGGTAACCTTGGAAATACTTACCGATGGTAAGTTGCTGACTTTTCGCGATCAGGGCCATTCGAACAGCGCGCCGCAGAACATGACGGCGTAGTCGACCTTCCTATGTCGCATATACTTAGTTTGAAGTATCTGCTTCGTCGAGCGACTTCCAAGCACGAAATATCACCCATGGTAGAGTGTATACCCAACCCTCGGCAATTTTTATGGCAGCCTACCGCCACAGCGCTGTCCGACATATTACTATGATGGTTAGAGATAATATAACTCTACCGAAAAGATGGCCGACCTTGGCCACATTTCTGTGAATAGGCGGAACTGGGCAAACGCGATCCAGCAAATAGTTATAGAGATGAGCGGTGTATACCACCTGCGACGACAACCTTTTTGCACCTCCCGAGTCTATCGTTAATTTCGTGTTCTTTATTTTTGTTTGCGCAGACTTCCAGACTAAGCGACGATGACTTCGCGTTCAGAGCAGAAAGAATCAACAAAGTGTGTCGCACGTACCAGGTGGCCCTGGCGGATCCCAACAGACGCATTCTGAAGCGTAACTTCAGCGACGAACGGCCCAACCTCTGCCACATCCGAGATTGTCCCATCATGATCGACCCTGCACACAAAGTCGGCTACTGCTTCATAAACAAGGTTGCATCCACTACAGTCAAGTCCATTTTCGGGGTCCTGCTGCACATCGGAAACACGGGAAGCACAGTTTACAGCACACACATGGCCTTTCATGAGCACGTCCTCACAGTCTCACACATGACGTTTCTACGGAGGAGCAGCCAGGAGCGCTACACAACCGCCATGTTCGTTAGGCACCCCTTCGAGAGGCTAGTATCCGCTTACGTGGACCAGGCGCTAGGCCCACGTGATGACAATGTCTATTTTTACAACCGGTACTGGAATGACGTGCCTGGCGTCAGGGCAACGGGGCGGAGCTTGACCTTCCCGGAGTTCGTTGACTACATACTGAATCAGACAGTGAACCAGATGAACCCTCATTGGGCTCCGTACTACTTGACGTGTCAGCCTTGTACCGTCAAGTACGACGTCGTCGGAAAGCTGGAGACAGCAAGCAGGGACTTTGCGCTGTTCCTTGGTACACTGGGTGTTCGGCCGGAAGACATTCCGCATAAAAACAAGGCTGGTGACCACGGGTCCCGCAAGTCTGGCCGAGAGTTTTTTAAGGAGCTTGCTTTCCATCAGGTGATGCGTTTATATGAGCGGTTCTTCTTCGACTTCGAGATGTTCGGGTACGACTTCAGGGACTATCTGCACTGAAAGTGTACGCGAAACCAAAGGATGAGGCCAACCTCTAAAAGAGATCTTCACAGCCAGTGCTTAAACAAATCTGCAGCAGAGAAAATGAGGACCTATGCCTGAAGCCTATAAATATATTTTTTGTGAAATGCGTATTCAAAAGTCAGTTTCACTGGATTATATGTAGGTCTAGACAACTTGAGTGAGCCGATTGCCTAAACTAGTGTCTAATATTAGTCGATACGAGCGACTAAAGTGCCAAAGTGTCCAACGTGTCCTGTAAAAGAGGCACTTGAGTGCCTTTTGTTTCAAGAAGCTTCTTTTTGATGGCATATTCTGTGTTTGAATGGGCAATAAAAATTACCAGTTCTGGACGGCAAGACGTCCCAGTGAACTTAACAGCGATAGTAATGCACCGGCACTGTTCTCTCTTGCATGGAAAAGGAAGGGGGGGGGGGGGGGTATCTTCGGGGTCCCTATTACCTCCATAAAATATGACCAATGAAGATAGTTAAATGCTAGTATGTACAGAACGTTACTATTATTGCGCTAAGTCGCGTTGTGCAATATAATTTGACAAAAACGTCAAATCTTCGCGTGTTGTCCAAATATGCCGTCTGGCGGCGCCCCCTGGTGCCTGTTCTATAGGGTGCAGAGAGGGGAGAGTGTAACGATCATTGATTGTATTTTACTATAGTAATCGACCGCCATGAGTGTAATTTCAGATTATGTTATGGTGCTTAGAACCCGTTGAGTGAGTTATCACCAGAAATAGACGATCTCCGAATCCACTTGCGTGCCCCTGGGACCGATCACACGACGTCAAAAAAGCGCCATTATGGGGCTCGTTGTGTTTCTGTGCGTGTTCTATTACTGCTGAACCGTGGATAAACAATAAATGCCCAATGAGTTGCGCTTCTGACTTTGCTTGATTGGTCCCTTTAGCTCGTAGCGTGTGCTCCGTCTCGACTTAAACACCATTAAAAGAACAAAAAAATTCTTTTTTAAAACAATTTGGTTGAGATACACGTGTCGTAAAATATTTATTACGAAAAAAATAATTTAGGAGATATATTGACGGCGAGAGATTCATCTGAAATTCTGCACGCGAAGTCCAAGACGTCACTGGTCATTCCGGAATACCCATCTCGGTCGTGAAGGCGAAGCGCTACACCTCTCCACCCGCCCGAAATGCCCAGAGAGAAAACAATTTAGTGAAAAACCCGAGACTGAGGTAAAACAGACGACGACAAGGAAGAAAATGAGAACGTCTCAAACACAGCTAAAGCTTTATTGAGGGAAGCACCCTTTATATAGGGTTGAAAAATGAAGGAAGGAAAGGGAACCCTTCTTCACATCACCTCTCTCCACAAAAGGTACGACGTCAACTCTACCAAAGACACGACACCGGACCTCTAACAATGGGGTCAAACCAACAAAAGAACTGACAGCACCAACGATGACACATCAAAAAAGAAAAAAAAAGAAACGCTGGCAAATTAACAGATTGCACTGGACCTTTCACTGAGAAAGTCGGTTATAAAACGACACACGCGCACACACAAAAAAATAAAGGTTTCCAATATCATTAGAGATTTAGAAATCGCTTCGATTCCGTATCTAAAGACAATGAAGTCTTGTTCACTGCATTCCCATGCTTCGTTATTGCGATTGACTCTTTCAACAGGCGCTTGTGGTCGTTTTTTTCTTTGCAGTTTTCGATCGAAAAGTCAGCCAACAATGTACTTCAGTATTTAGACCTCCAGTTCAGATTCGTCCCCTGTTTATGTTGGTCGTATGGCAAAGAAAAGGCTAAACCAGTACTTCCCTTTGATAGTTGCCATTCAAAGCATGTCCAGGCAGGATTGGTTCGAAACATTATTAACAACGCCCCAGGCAGCACACCAATGTCGGTCCGACATTGGCCTAACATTGGCAAAGACCGGCCTCAATATTGGACAATATTGGAAGCGCTACCCTTTCCAATGTTGGTCCAGTGATCAGTGCCAATGTTGGGCCAATGTTCAGCCATCGTTCCAGCCGATGTAGGCTCCATCATTGGTGCCAATGTTGGGCCATAGCTAAACCATGGTTCCAGCCAAGGTGCTCCCACATTGGCGAAGACCGGCGTAATATTGGACAACGCTGGAAGCGCGACCCGATCCAATGTTGGCCGTCATGCTGATTTTTGGCCATCGTTGCACTCGCCCAGCTCTTTGCAAGTGCCCTCGCCAAGTTGTTTGCAAAAAGGAAGGTAAACAGACACAAGGGATTGTTTTGAAATCTCCTAACAGTTTATTACACACAGCTTATTCTGTAGTCAAGTCAAGTCAAGTCAAAATGTGTTTTTATTTGTACACAAGATGTTAGATAATTACACTTATTCAGACGGGGGTCCCAAAGTTTTCAAAAGAAAACTGTTGAAGGGACCCCTTGGTAATAAAAAGTTAGTAAGCGATCAAGTTAACACCATTATATATAAAATAAAAAAACAAAAACAAAAAAAACGAAACACAATTGTGGTATCTACATAATCAAAATATTAAACCAAGTGAAAAGAGAGAGAAGAAAAGCTAGAAAGTCGAGAAAAAAGGACAATATCAGTGTGTTTGTGTGTGTGATTGTGCGAAAGGTGTGCCTAGGAGAGGAGAATGAATCGGGGGGGGGGGGGGGGGGGAGGGGCATAGAAATGGTTGATGAATCATGCAGATAGTATGTGGGCACGTATGGCTTGTTTAAAGATATAGAATGATGACATGGCAGTTAGGCAGGGTGGTAGAGTGTTCCACGTTTTAGTAGCAATGTAAATGAAGGTGAACGCACCATAATTAGTTCGTATGTATGGTACAGACAGTGACGCTTGTGAATGTGAACGCAGAGGATACATGACATCTTGATGAGTAAAACTAATTGAAGAGCATGTTATCTGATTGGTGATGAACTTAAATGTTAATAATGCTACACGATAATCGAGGCATTGATGAACTGTTAAAATGTTGAGGAAGTGGTATGCAAATTGAGCACTTTCGCGCCTATTCACAAACAGCATTGCTCGTAGTGCCGTATTCCGGGCGATTTCTATGGGTTTTAGTGTTGTTTTATATGTCAATCCATAAATGGATAACCCGTACGAAATGTGAGTATGAATGAAGCTATGATAAAGCATTTGGAGGGTTCGTAAGGAAAATATGTGCCGTAGTTTATATAGAATTAGTATATTTCGATATATCTTATTAGTTGTGTCTTTTACGTGTTGGTGCCATGTTAACTGATGGTCAAGTGTTAGTCCTAAAAATTTAGTATGGTACACTCGAGTTAGGTTAATACTTGCAAACAAAAGCTGAGGTGTGTTTAAAACTAGTTTGTTTTTCGGGGCAAAAATTATGTAGTTTGTTTTCGCTATATTGGGAACTAATTTGTTATGGGTTAGCCATTTAGCTAGCTTTTCTAAAGTGTTATTAGCTTCCATGTATAGTTCTGTCACGCTTGCATTAGATATAAAAGTATTTGTATCGTCGGCATAAAGAACACAATCTTTTTGTAAATAGGCTGCCAGGTCATTAATATATATTAAAAAAAGAAAGGGACCTAATATTGAGCCTTGCGGAACACCGATGGTAATATGTTTAGTTGTGGAAATAGTGCCATCTAAAGTGACAAATTGGCATCTGTTTGATAGATAACTTTCGATTAGATTGAGAGCAACACCACGAACCCGGTAAGCACTTAATTTCTGTAGTAAAAGTTCATGGTTAATTAGGTCAAACGCTTTTGTTAGGTCTACATAGATGCCCATTGTTAATAACTTCATTTCAATATTTTGCTTTGTTTTCTCTACCATATTTAATAACGCGAGTTCTGTTGATTTCCCTTTAAGAAATCCATGTTGTGACGGAGTGATCAAATTATTTTCAGAGAAGAACAGGTTCAGTCGCTTTAGTAGAAGTTTTTCAATCACATTTGTAATGACAGGAAGTAAGGCGATTGGTCGATAGTTCTCTGGTTTTAGTTTGTCTCCTAGACAAGCACAATCTCAGCAATTCGTAATATGTGAAGAGGTACTACTCAGCTGTGATACAATTAAAAAGACTGCAAAGCAAGCAACAACCGGGGTAATTCTTGGGTAGTGTCCAGTGTCCCGGCAGCTGACAGAATTGTTTCGCCAAAATTCTACCACTAGTCGCCCCTCATTGGCGGTGCAATCAGTTCATCGAACTACATTTCATAGACAGATCGTTTCATCAACACGCGATGTTTCATAAAAAAACTCAAAATATGTTTTCTTTTCTTCTTTTTTGTTGCAATGAACCGCTTCAGATTAGCATGAAGCGGCGTGAAAGGGTGGGCTGGTTCCGTGAGCACGCGCCTCAGGAATACACTCGCGACGAAATGCCCCTACAGCGCGCAATTCGCGTAACGAATGTCGATGAAACGTAAATGTCGACCAGAAAGGTGGCAACGAAACGTGTTTTTGCGAAACGCAGGTAGAATAAAAAAAGTCAGTATTCTACCTACGGTTGTGACATTATTTCAGACAGATAATGGCAGGCGACTGTCGGTAAGATTGCGGGAAAATTATTCTCCCAGCTGCCAGGAGATAGGCAATGCCCAATTCTAGAGGTTATCCGGAAGATTGCCCATACAAGAACGGAGAATGATCATCAAGTAGGTTGCAGCACACTTACGTTGAAAATACTGGACTTGAAAGATGTAATCCGACTTATATGTCAACACGGGCACTGCAGAACAACCACTCAAACACAAAACCTACAAGGAAGTGATTTGTGAAGATTCAACACAATGTAGCACACGCTGCCATTTGCCGAACCGGACACTAAACTGTTCACAAGAATGTCTTGGGCCTCTTTGAAGAAATCGACACGGGTAGGACTTTTCGAACGAGATACCATTTACCACAGAAGCGAAATCCACAGCGGGCCTGCACCCCGCAGGCCGCATCACGCGCGAAACTAGGTCCGGTCCTTGCGACGCAGGCATTCCGAGTTTGTCAACGGGTAATGTGTCATCCGTCAAACCACATGATCACACTTCTGCCGTTACCCGCGCACAGAGAGCGGATTCAAGTCCGGCGAGTACGCACAGCAACCGCGCCTTCAGCTTAGGGAGAGAGAGAAAAAAGAGAGAAGGAGTACAAAGCAAGCAGGCCAGAACGGGGGTGGGGTGCGCTTACAAAGGCTTATCTTCAGGGGCATCTCAACAATGAACGGAGCGAGAGAATTTGTCACTTCTACCCAATGTTGATAGTGCAGTAGAAGTTATGCGTGACCTTGCGCTTTAGGCAGGTTCCGTGCTCTGCCTTATCGCCAGCTTTGAAACAGTAGTCACGTGACCCTAACAGGAGACAGGATTGGCCTTAAAC